TCAGTAGGGAAAAAAAGAGTATATCTGTAATACTTTCAACAATAAAGATAAATTAAAAAAATAAAATAAAGATGAAAACACCTTTTCAGACTACTTTCCTTATATCTCATAATATTCCAGTATAAGTGTACCCTTTGGAAATCTCTCCAGAGCTTCTTGAAGCTGTGTTGTGTCTTATCAGGATAAAGAAGAATTTACTTTCTGCAGAAGGCATTCAATTTTGATGAGAACCCTTCTTGTTTTTAGGGCTTCTGGGATCAAATGCTATGGGGATGAGCAAAGAAAAGATGTCCCTGGACTTTCTCCATAGCCTTCAGTGATTTTCAAGCAGAATCACTTCTTGGTATCAGGCTGCTGCCAAGGTTAGCCCCCTGAGCCAACCCTTGTTTTCCTTCCTCTAGCTCTGAAGCCACAAGATCAGCTTTCTGCCCTGCAATTGCTGGTTTACCTGATGCCACCCTGCCACAGTGACACCTTGGAGCGTCTGCTGACGGCCCTGCATAAAATCACTGAGAACTGCCAGGACTCCATTGGCATTGATGGACAGTTGGTAAAAAGCTCTGGGAAAGGGTAGTGAAGGCTGTGGTTAGGGACATGTGTGGGAATATATGAGAGAGACAGAGCCAAAGAGACAGAGGAAAAGGGAAACAAGAATAAAAAGATGTTTTCATTTGTATAACTTTGATTACTACCTCAGAGTCAACCACTTTCTGCTTTCTTTTATCTAGGTTTTTGGCAACCGTATGACTTCCAGCAATTTGGCATTGGTGTTTGGATCTGCTCTCCTGAAGAAAGGGAAAGTTGGCAAGAGGGAATCCAGGAAAACAAAACTGGGGATTGACCACTATGTTGCTTCTGTCAATGTGGTCCGTGCTATGATTGATAACTGGGATATTCTCTTTGAGGTAGGTGGAAGTTTGGGACACACTTATTTCACAGCTCTCTCACATGTTCACAAGGCAAGGAGAAGCTGTACATGTATTCCTGAGGGTAGCCAAAGGTACCTAAAAATTTCCTAGTCTAGAAGGTCTCACATTAGCTGGTCATGGTGACTTCAGTCCTGTGTAATTGATAGAAATGAGTGTAAAAATTTTAAATGTTATATAATAAAGACTAACATTGCTAATTTTACCCTCAGGTGCCTCCCAATATTCAGAGGCAGGTTGCTAAGCGTGTGTGGAAATCCAGTCCTGAAGCCCTTGATTTTATCAGACGCAGGAATTTGAGGAAGATCCAGTGAGTGTTTTGTCAGTTTATTTATGCTTAGCCTGAAGCAGAATCTTTTATGGGAGTTTCCAATCCCAGGCCATCTTTTTGTTAATCCATCCATGTACACAAACTGACTTGATTTTTCAAATTCATTCTCATTCAGGAGTGCACGTATAAAGATGGAAGAGGATGCTTTACTTTCTGATCCAGTGGAAAACTCTGCTGAAGTCCGGGCTGCTGTCCTTCCTCAAAGCAAGCCCTTTGATGAAGGTCAGTTCCCTGCTGGAGATCAGATCCCTGGTGAAGGTCAGGCCCTTACTGAAGGTCAGTCCCTTGGTGAATGTCAGGCCTTTCCTGAAGGCCAGGTCCTTGCTGAAGATGAGCCCCTTGAGGAAGATGAGTCCTCTGAGGAAGATTTGGCAGTTAACGAAGAGCTAGTATTTGAATATCTCCATCAAGGAGCAGTCTTTGGAGAAGTCCAAGGACTTGAGATCCCAAATGACTTTGAAATTCAAGGTGCAATTCTTGAAGACATACCAGAGCTTGATGAAGAAGATGATGTTGACAATGAGGACGATGACGACAATGATACTGTGAATTTTGATGATCTTCCTCCCCTTGAGGATATTCTAGATCCTGATGATGAAATTCCAGAACTCATTGAAATCCCAGACTTTGAAGAAATACCATATTTTGATATAGTCCCAGACCCGGAAGGAGCCCCAGATGTGCAAGAAATCCCAAACCCTGGAGAAGTCCAAAACAACGATCTTGGAGAAGGGCCAAATTTTGAAAACTACCAAAATATTGTCCTTGCAGAAGTTCCCTATCTTGATGTAATCCCAAACCATGAAGAAGCCTCAGATACTGATGAAATCCAAGACCATGCAGATGCCTCAGATAATGATGAAAACCCATATTCTGAAGAAGACTCCAATTTTGAAGAAGCTCCAGCTCTTGCTGAAATCCCAAATGATGAAGCCTCAAATGCTGAAGAAATTTCAGACCATGAAGAGGCCCCAGAAGTCAATGGGATTTCAGACTCTGACAAAGACCTTGATTTCGAAGAAGTCCTAGCTCTTCATGTGGTCCCAAGCCCTGAAGAAGCCCCTGATGATTATGAAATTCCAAATCATGAAGAATCCCCAGGAGTTAATGAACTCTCAGACTCTGAAGAAGATTCCAGTCTCGAAGAGGTTCCAGCTCTTGATGGAGTCCCAAATGATGAAGAAACCTCAGATACTGAAGAAATCCCAGGTCATGAAGAAACTCCAGAGGTCAGTGGAATGACAGGTTCTGAAGAAAGATCCAACTCTGAAGAGGCCCCAGCTCTCCATGTGGTAAAGAGCCCTGAAGATGTCTCTGATTTTGATGAGATTCAAGATGAGGAAGAATACTCAAATGTGAGTGGAGTCTTAAACAATGAAGAAGCCTCAGATGCTGAAGAAACCCCAGGACACAAAGGAGCCTCTGATGTCAGTGAAATCCAAGACTCTGAAGAAAACTGCAATCTTGAAGAAGACTCAGTTCTCAGTGTGGTTCTAGAGCCTGAGGATGCTCAAATTTACAACGAAATTTCAGATTCTCAGAAAGACCGAGCCAACACTTTTGAAGACCAAAATGTGATTCCCGAGCCTGAAGATGTCTCTATTTTCAGTACAATTCCAGACCCTCAGCCAGACCCTGCTGTCAATCTTGAAGAAATCATGAATGTGGAAGCGGTACCAATGCCTAATTATCTTGACTCTAAAGAAGTTCAGAATCCAAAGGCAATCCAGTTCCATAAAGAAGATGCAGATTTTACATTCCCTCTAGATACTACCCTGCTTAAAAACAAGTCTCAGCTTGGCCAAGTAATGAACTACAAGCCCTTCTCAGAGTCATTGAAGATCGACTCCTGCTTTCTCCCCTCCATGAAGTGCTGTAAGCTTCTGGCTCCAGCTTTATTATTCCTTTGCTTAGTAAAACTAGTTAGGCTGCTTGTAGGGTGGTGGTTATTTGGAGGTTGCATTCTTCTATGCCTCCCGCAAGGTATTGTCTATTTGCTCTAAGCATGGGGTATCTGTCTAACTCTTTCTGTTCTTTAACCAAGCTCTTCTCCCTCACCCCCCCCAGCTTCCACAGTGGGCCTAGATTTAGAGATCTATATTCTACTCTTAAGCTGCAGTTTTCTTACAATTCTAATGCAGATAACCATTCCTGCCCTAACTTCTTGCCTCATGCTGTATTTGAAGCTCAAAATTAGGTCTCAGTCCCTTGGGTGCTGTGCAAAGTAAGAAGTTAACATTGTTACTATTTTCCAGGTTCCTCTGAGGAGCCAGCTGTGCCTTCCGGCACTGCCCGTTCCCATGACGATGAGGAAGGAGCGGGTAACCTTCCTATTCTGGAGCAAGACCGCCCATTGCTCCGTGTGCCCCGGGAGAAGGAGGCCAAAACTGGCACCAGCTACTTCTTACCTTAGATGGTTTTCCTTCTATAAGGTGCAGGACAGGGGAAAAGGGTTGGGGTATATCTGAAATATCACAGGAAATATTAAAGAGTGTGTCTTGAAGGTAAAGATTTGAGGGTGAGAAGGAGTTCCACCTGATGCTCAGGTCAGGCTGAGAAGTCCAAACACACTGCCAGCCCCTTCACTGGGGATGCTTGGTCCCTTCAGCTGGTAAAAGCAGAGAAGTTTCTGTGTCATACCCAGGATCCCTGGGTGCTATCTTGCCTTTCTCTTTTACCCCTGATCCTGGCTTTTCCACATTACAGCCCTTCCTTTAATTGATGTGACATTTGTGGTAAACACCTGTCTCAGAGAAGCTCACAAATCTCGAGGTGCTTTCCCTCCCCCAAAGAGGAATTGCATGTTTTCCTGACTTTCCTATTCTACTCCTGAGAGCTCAATTGGAAAGGCCCTCAAGAGGCATGCTAGAATGTTAGGTCAGCCTACTGACTGCTGACAAACAATCAATGCTAAACCATGTCACACCAACTCAGCCGTGTCCCCGCAGCAACTCCACCACCTCAGGCTATTTCTTTTTGCCAAATTATTTAGACCAATGGCTGGTCAAACAACGACTCCCAAAATTATGTGCAGTCTTGCTCAGGTAGAGCCAACAGGGCCATCTCAAGTGTAAGTCTAACTAGCTTTCCTTTGGTCAAATTTAGAGGAAAAATTTGATTTTAATACCTTGATTTGTTTTACAGACAGCTGGTGTTCACACCCTGTTGTCAGCAAAACAGCTAGTTAGATATGGACACATAGTTCCAGCTAGTTAAAGTCACCTGAATACAAATATTATCTATCGTCTCTGTAGTTCCTCTATGCAGGACGTTACAAATTTGCGGGACATGCTCTGGTAACACATAGATATGGGCTATGTATGACATCCAAAATTATACCTGATATTGAGGCATAACAACTGCTAATGTCCATAGACTGAAGAGTGTATTGTATTGAGGGATAGAAATTGTTCACATATTGGGTAACAACCTTAGAGCTCGAAGATTTGTGATTGTTAAAACTTCTCTGGCATTTAATCATTAATAAACATCTGTATTGTGACAGCAGCATATTCATAGCTTATTGTGTTTTTTGTTTTTTTAAATTTAAAATTTTGTTGGTGATTTGGAAAGCTCTGGCTGGAGCTGAAGACGAAGGAGAGGTGGGGAAGAGGAATAAAGGAGAAGAGGATGATATAGAATAAGGGAATGGAGAGATATGGAATAAAGGGGGGTGATGCAGACAGAGGAGGGGGTGATATGGAATAAAGGGGAGGGGGTGAGTTAGAGTAAAGGGGAAGGGTGATGGGGAATTAAAAGGAGGGGTGATGCAGAATAAAGAGGAGGGCATGATGTGGAATAAAGGGGGTAAAGTGGAAGAAAGAAGAGCTGCAGTTGAATAAAGAAAATGGAAGGGTTAAAGTAGAATAAATGGTTAAGGAGTGGTGAAACAGGAATAAAGAAAGGGATGAAGCTTAAAAAGACCTCTAAAGGGAAATGAGGAGGAATAGAAAGAGAGATTACTAGGTATCCTCAATTGAGAAAGTCACCCTAGGTTGGTGAAAAATAAAAACCTAAACATCTGGAGACATGATTTCCAAGGATAAGAATATGCTGCTGTTTGATTGGAGCTCCAACCTTTCTTGAAAGCTTGAGACTTCATGACATGCTTGGAAATTTCCCATGTTAGGGACAGGGCTCCAGAAAGGGGAACTGGGTTGTATTATTTATTTTTACACACTTTTATTTGGGATATATCTTGTGTATCGTTCTTTAGACAGCAGAAATATAACATTTGGTCTCTCATATAATAATAATTATTTTATAATAATAATATAGTTAACACATATTGAGTTTTTAAAAAGTGACACTGTTAAAAGCTTTACATGCATCATTTTATTTAATATTTACAACAATTCTACCAAATACATTACTACTGTCATCCTCATTTTCTTCTTGAGGAAAATGAGATACAGAGAGGCCAAATAACCTAACTAAATTTCAAATGTGGTTAATGAAAAACAGCTAATCTCCAAAGCTGGAGTGCTTAACCACTAGATTATACTGGCCCATCAATTTTAGGATTATTCCATTGACACAAAGATGCATTGTGATATCTGCAATCAGTGTTTTTTGGATAGAATTTGCATTTTAACAAGCAAGCTTTAGGTTCCTTCCTAATAGGTCCTTTCTTTCCAGGTAGGACCAGCTGTTAGAGAATAACTGTCATATCTCTGACATACTTTAGCAGGTGTATCTAGAACCCTTAGATATTAAAGCCAATGAAAAATGTAGAGCTCATCCATTCCAACTCTCTTGTTATACAAAATGGTCACACTAGTGCTCATAATGATTTGCCTGAGTTCAGAGATCTGAATTAAGATCAGGCAGGCCTTTTTATTGCCATTCCAGAACTATATGGGGCCAAAATAGTAAAACATGTCTTGTGCTTTTCCCACTTACCTTAAAAACCAATCAATAAACCAGATAATGAACAGGAAATTAGATTGTTTTAAAACATTACCTTGACTTCCTGGCCTTCCCCGACACCAGCTTATCTCCTGATCCCATTGGTTCCTCTATATTCTTCCCCAGTGCTGACTACTAACCAAGGGTTTGGGGCTGAGAGTGATGAATAGATGTGGGCATTATCTTCACTCTTCCCCATACTCTAAGGACCAGCTTAAAAGGCGTGAGACTCCAAGTCCTGTCATCATCTTAGGTGACTTCAACAATATACACATGAAAGACCCATCCCACACACGCTGGCCTCACCTCCCTGCTCTTTAACTTCTTAGCACTCCAACCACCCTCAGTCACTTGGCATCACTGAGCATGAATTCACTTCTAAAAGACTTAACTCCAATATCCCATTGTCACTCAAATCTCTTATCAATGGCTGGGTCCCACCTCATTTGCCTTTTTACTTCATTGAGGTGTTCAGTATCTCCAAGTCTTCCCTTTTCTCTTCACTTCTTTCCTTATCTAGCCAGGATCTCAGGACAAGTTGATTTAGAAATTACTGCATCCTTATCCCTGTGATCTCCAAATACATCATCTGCACTATTTCATCTCAGTTGAGAGAAAGTAGTAGCCGTCCAGATATTGGTGCATCTAATAGAATTTCCAACCTCAGCTGGGTTCTCAGACCAATCAGCAATCATTTCACATGCCCCAAGTCATCTTCTTCTCTAACTCTCCTCCCATTCATATTCAATTTCTACATCATTCCCCTCAAATAACAGTCCCTTTCACTTGAATAAGCAAATATTTTCTCCCATTCATTAGGTATGGACACAACCTAGATGTCCATCAATAAAGGAATGGATAAACAAGGGGTGGTATATGTGCATACAATAGAATATTATTCAGAAATTAAAAAGAACAAAATCTTGCCATTTGTGTCAAGATGGATGAAACTTGAGGGCATTCTGCTAAGTGAAATAAGTTAGAAGAAAAAGACAAATACTGCATTATTTCACTTATACGTGGAATCTAAAAAAAACCCCAAATGAGTGAACAAACGAAACAAAAACAGACTTATAGATACAAAGAACAAGCTGATGGTTGCCAGAGGGGATGGGGGTAGAGGTATGGGTGAAAATGTGGAGGGGAATAAGAGGTTAAAACTTGCAGTTATGAAATAAATAAGACATAGGGATGTAGTGTACAGCACAGGAAATATAGTCAACACTATTGTAATAACTTTTCGCAGTGACAGATGGCTACTAGACTTATTGTGGTGATCATATTGTAGCATATATAAATGTCAAATCACTATGTTGTACACCTGCAACTAGTATAATATTGTATGCCAACTACACTTGAATAAAAAAAGAATAAAAAATTCATATGATCATCTGAATAGATGCAGAAAAAACATTTGACAAAATTCAACATCCCTTCTATATAAAAACCCTCAACCAATGGGTATAGAAAGAACATACCTCAACATAATAAAGGCCATATATGAAAAACCTACAGCTAACATTATTCTGAGTAGTGAAAGATTGAAAACTTTTCCTCTAAGATCAGGAACAATACTAGGATGCCCACTCTCACCACTCTTATTCAATCTAATAATGAAGTCCTAGCTAGAACAACCAGACAATATCAAGAAGTAAAAGGCATTGAGATAGGAAAAGAAATAAAATTCTCTTTATTTGTCTATGATATGTTTTTTGGAAAATCTACATTTTTTATTATGTAATAAAATAACAACATATTTTCCCAGTAAGCAGACTTACTGAAGAGTTCCAAAAATTAGGAATAGTAAGAGAGAACTCTATTCCATTAAGGGAAATATCTCTCACAAAGTCTATGGATTTTATTACAATATTGTTAACTATAGTCTCTATGCTGTACTTTACATCCCCATGACTATGCTGTAACTACCAATTTGTGCTTCTAAATCCCTTCACCTTTTTTCACCCATCCACCCAACCCCTCTCCCATTTGGCAGCCATCAAAATGTTCTATGTATCTATGAGTATGTTTTTGTTATGCTTGTTTATTATTTTGGAGGGATTCCACATATAAGTGATATCATCTGGAATTTATCTTTCTCTGTTTGACTTATTTCACTCAGCACAATACCATCTAGGTTCATCAATGTTGTTGCAGAGGGCAAGATTTCATCCATTTTATGGCTCAGCCATATTTCATAATATATATATAATATATATATATATATATAACATATATATATTATCCATATATATACATATATATAATATATATATTATCCACTTCTTTATCCATTCATTTATTGATGGACACTTAAGTAGCTTCCATATCTTGGCTATTGTAAATAATGGTACAATAAATATATGGATGTATATGTCTTTTCAATTTAGTGTTTTGAGTTTCTTCAGATAAATACCCAGAAGTGGAAGTGCTGGGTCCTTCTTTGTCTCTTGTTATAGCCTTTGTTTTAAAGTCCATTTTGTTTGGTATAAGTATTTCTACCCCAGCTTTTTTGGTTGCAATTTTTATAAAATAATTTTTTCCATTCCGTTACTTTCAGTCTGTGTGTATCTTTCAATTTGAAGTGAGTCTCTTGTAGATAGCAAATGTAAGGGTCTTATTTTGTTGTTTATTCAGCAACTGTATGTCTTTTAATTGGAACATTTAATCCACTTACATTTAAAGTAATTGTTAATAGACAGTATTTATTGGCCATTTGATGTTTCTTCTTCTTCTTAAAGAAGACCCTTTAACATGTCTTGTTATACTGGTTTGGTGGTGATGAACTCCTTTTCCCTGTCCTTGTCTGGAAAGATCTTTATCTGTGCTTCGATTTTGAATGATAACTTTTCTGGGTAATCTGGGTTGTAGGTCCCTGCTTTTCATCACTTTGAATATTTCATGCCAATTCCTTCTTGCCTGGAAAGTTTCTGTTGAGAAAGTATTTGACAGTCTTATGGGAGCTTCCTTGTAGGTAACTAACTGCATTTCTCTTTTTGATTTTGAGATTCTTGCTTTGTCTTTAACCTAGGCATTTTAATTATGTTGTGTGTTGGTGTGGTCTCTTTGGGTTCATCTTGTTTGAATCTCTGCACTTCCTGGACTTGTATGCCTATTTTATTCACCAGGTTAGGGAAGTTTTCTGTCATTATTTTTTTCAGATAAGTTTCAATTGCTTACTCTCTCTTCTCCTTCCAGCACACCTGTGATATAAATGTTGGTATGCTTGAAGTTATCACAGGAACTCCTTAAGCTATCCTCATTCTTTTGGATTCTTTTTTCTTCTTCTTTCTTTCTTTCTTTTTTTTTTTTATTGACTTCAGAGAGAGGAAGCAAGAGGGAGAGAGAGAGACCTCTAGCACAAATGATAAGAGACTGTACTACTGGTTCAACAGAGCACTTACTACATAAGGACACCCCACAAAGACTGGGAGGTATAGCAGTTCTATCTAATACATAGAAAAAAACACAGACACCTAAAATGGGGAGACAAAAAACAACCACCAAATGAAAGAAAAGGAATAATCTCCAGGAAAAGAGCTAAAAGAAATGAAGACAAGCAATTTATCAGATATAGAGTTCAATGTAATGGTTATAAGGATGCTCA